TCTTCAGCAAAAACATTCCCAATTAAAAAAATGCAGAGGATGGGAAAGAAAACTCAGATAGCATAAGTATATAATTTGCATTGCTTGTGTACACGTTTGCCTTTTAATATTGTGGCATTACATCAAGGACTCTTCCCTAGTTTCTTCTACTGTGTTACTGAGTCTGGATCTACACTACCCTATATCCCAGGATATGCGGGACAGGATTGGATATAAAAGTTGGCTACATTGCACTGTGTCGTAGCAGCACTGCAATAAAATGTGTTCTAGTGTTTCTCTTTCATTTCCTCCACAGGGACACTATCTTATACAGCCAACCTTCCCCATTTGCGGATTGGATGACTTGCTGCTTTGATTAACATGTCCTCTCTAGGAATGTCTAGGTCCTCCAGGGACAGTCTGTGATCAACTTCCAACAGAAATAGTTGTTTCTTCATTTGTGTGTTTTCTCCTATGACTCAAACCCCTGTGAAAGTGGAGGGGCCACAGTATTTCAGTCCTTAATATCAGCAGTGTCTTTGTACTTTCTGACAGGTTGAAGTTACTGTAGACCAGTTGCGTTTAGCATTACCAGAAAAAGAAAAGAAAGAAAAGAAAATAAGCTGATATTACAGTGTTATAATTGAAGAAAAGGAGTGAAACAAACTTTTTTGAGTTCAGATAAGTTCCATTTCTATGGTCAGCAATATTCTTTAAAGATTGTGAGTAGGAACTTGATCTGGGTAGACCGAGAATTATGTGTTTTTAGCACAATGCTAAAGGTTTAAAGGAGACATTCCAAAACAAATGTTTTACTGTTATATTCCACAGAAATATTCATACATTCAATTGTTAATGTTATATTCTAGTGAAATGTAAGGCTGTAATGTCTTCATGAAAAATATGTTCTGCCTTTATTTGTGTGTTTAATGTTTGCCATTTTTTATATTGAGGAAACAAAGTGTAACTGGATTAGGAAGTTTTTCCTGGGAAATACAAGACTGTATATATTGTTTACCCTCTAACCCAGTTGGATTTTTCATTATCGTGTTATGCTTGTCAAAGGAAACCATTTGCCTACAGATATTTTGCACATTGGATATCTGTGACATTCTTAGGGTACCAGAAATGTAAATGCTAGAATTACTCATTCCTTCTTGTGCATTTTATTTTGTGGTTACTGTAATATTATTGTATCCATGTTTTCATTTATTTCAGCAGTGGCCCTATTTGAATGTAAATATTTATACATAGTTAGTGCTAAGGCAATAGTGGTCAACTATAATGGTTAAGATGTTTATGACTTGTGTCTAACATCAGCTTGAACAGATAGAGATTGCAACCTGGAAACCACATAAAGAGCTGACGATGCACACCTGAATCCAAAGATACTGTACCTCCATTTTTGATGTTTTTGATCTGTAAAATATATGAAGCAGTGGTCTGTAGAAGAAGGCTTTGATATTAATCATGTTGCTGTCCTGTACCACCATAGCTATACCAGTCTAGGTGGTGATAGTGAAAGGAAAAGTGCTGCAGGTACAGTGGCAGTGAAAAAAAGGAAGACATTCAAGAAATGATAGACTTTTGTCTGCTGGCTGTACAACCCTAGAAAAAGTATAACCAGTGGTGTAGTACACAGACAGTATTTTGGTTTCCATTCTGAGCAGGAAATAAAAAAATATGAGGGACTACTGGTTATATTTGCTTTCCCATCTTTGATGTATTATTTACAACTATACTTCCACCTCTGTAGTTACTACAGCACTACCCTTTTAGCGTCCTTAAATTTGTGAGGCATCGCTGAGGGATAAAAGATTTCCCGTCGAACGTAGCTCTCAGTATGAGCTGTTACTAATGACAAATGATTTGGAGGCAGTGAGTCGAGAAGGACATAGATGACAAATCTATGAATTTTTTTTTAAAGTGTGCTGCAGTGAGATATTTCTGATCAGCAGTTTAATATTACCTGTGATGAGAAATGATTAGATAAAACCACAATGACAAAGTATGTAAAAATGGGAAATTAAAAAGATCTGACATAGTTTGATTTTGCTTTTGTAAATAGCAAAGAGGATCAAAATCTAAACGTGTTCTTATGTGGGTTATTCAAAATATAGTCCAAACCTTTTCTGTCCCATCTCCTAGATAAGTACAGGAAATAATCTCAGTGCTAGTTGTTCTGGTCAAAAAGTGATTTAGACAGCATTGCATGGAAACATATGCAGTAGGCACAAAGGTTAGGGCACAGGGCTCCCCTTTAAAGTTAGGGGGGAAACCAGCAAATAGAAAAACTTTTAAAAAATTGACAGAATATCCCTTTCAGAAGCTGTAGATCCTTCAGTGTGTTCTATGGTCAGCTGGAAGACCTGTAGATTCCTAGATATACCATAACAATCAAATTTGTAAGTAATCAAATCTACAAAAAAATTAAACCTGGAAATGTGAAAGGAAGACTTCAAATGACTTTAATGTACAAAATGACACTTCATGAAATAAGTCACAACTGTGAATTTAATTCTGAAAGTCACTTGTCAGGATCAACATGAGGTGGCAGAAGAGCAGGTCTGGTGGTAAGTGACTGCGCTCTTCCACACAGCCATATGACCCAGAACTTCAAGACAGAAAATCCCACAATATCTTCTTTGAACTGGATTATCTGAGTCCACACTGCCATATATTCCAGGTCAAAGCAGAAAATGTGGGATTTTATTCAGCTGTGTGGAAGGGACCTCAGACTTACACCAGAGTTCCCTTCAGTTACCAGGTTTTCTGTTGAGAAGAACACAAAGAGTAGTCTTGAATGTACATCACAAGTTGATATGGAGGAGGAATTGGATGGTGCTCGTGTGCCCACTCCTATTGTGTAGGATTGAGCAAAAATAATGTTATCACAACTACTGCCATGTTCCATCCATTGAAGTGCTTTCATTTACAGTGTTCTGACTAAATTCTATATAAACTCTGAACTCTTCTGCAAATAAATTGAGATTATGTGTTCTTGAACAGAGAAGGAATCAATTCTCATCACATGCATACAGAATTAGACTACATAAATCACATTTTCTTTTTTAAAAAATATTTTATTATTTTATCACATTTTTATACATTGTTTATTTTACAGCAGATACATACTATTCAATACAATCACATTTTCAGAAAAAGAAAAGACTAATGTTGTCATTGTCATGTTTTATCTTAGCAAAAAAAAAAATCTAAATTAAAATTATGCCAGCCTTGCTAAAATGAAAATCAAACAAAGGGCATAAAAATGGAAAGTATCTCATGAAGCCCACAAGATACATGTGGGCTTCAAGTACATGTGAACAGATATGGAAAATGTGCATGTATAATGATTTTATTATAAGTATTTAGGTTGACTTTTTGGATTTCTTATTTAGCCTACTGAAGAAGGCTTTAAGAGTATCCACCCACAAGCCACAATCATCAACTTCGTAGCTAATGAAGTCAGTCTTCCAACATTTTGAGCCATAGCTTTCCTTTCTCTTGTAATATGAAAGTGCAGAATTCCATAGTGATTTTGTTCATGTGCTGCTGGCATGTATCAGATTTAGTTCTTCTTCAGTTGAACACATACCATATTTCAAACCACAGGCTCAGATACCATAAGTATTATGCCCTGTTCACAAAGCCCAAGAGAGCACAAGGGTACAGATCATCATATGCTTCCTCAGGAATTTGGTATGCTTATCATTGCCTGGTTTTCATCCTTAATATTCTGTTTGGTTGTGTGATCTGGAAACACATTTCTTACAAAGGACATGTATCATTTATCAGTTTCCTTCTATATAGCTTCTATTTAATTTTTGATAAAGTAGCTTGGAGGCTTGGTTGTAGAACATGTAACATTAAGGAATCCATATGCTAAATTGATTACTCAGTCTATTCCAGTCATCTGTTACATTTTTGGGTTTTTTTAATATCAAGACTTCAGTTTTGTGTCCCATTTAAGAGTCGGAGATTCCAAGAAATGGTATTGAAAATTGAACTAAACCTGCACTAAATTTTCCTCCTGCTGAAAACTCCATGATAGTGTTGCCTGTTAATACACACAGAGAGACACAAATTTAAAGTCTTCAGGAGGAGCTTGAAGACGTGGTTGTTCCAGTGTGCCTTCCCGGAATAATGATCCCATAGCACTTTGTCCCTCCAAAGCGCTTTATATTTTTAGGTCTGCTCATATGTCTTCCACAAATGCCACTATCACCTTTTCGTCCATGCCTCAGTACTATTTCCAATTTTAATTTTTACATTTGGCCTTCCCACAGTTTTAATTCTATGTTGTCTTATTGATAGTGTTATATGTTATCGTCTATGTTTTATTTTAATTGCTTGTATTGTTGTGATTATTGCTTGTATTGTTGTGTTTTGGGCTTGGCCTCATGTAAGCCGCACCGAGTCCCTTGGGGAGATGGTTGCGGGGTACAAATAAAGTGTTGTTATTATTATTATTATTATTATTATTATTATTATTAAAGTAAAAAGCTGCTACAAGCTCCCTTGTTCCAGCATGTTGTTCACTAGGGTTTAGCCTTTGGTTTCCTTTGAGATCATGAGAGTGTGACTTACCCATGTCACACAATAGGTTTCTTTAGCTAAGCACAGACCCTGGTCTTCAAATTCAAAGTTCAGTGCTCAAACTAATTCACCATACTGCCTCTACTTAGGAGGACCTATTGAACTCAGAATAACTCTGTTAATGCTGCTTGGACAGCTATTAACATTTACCAGAGATGTTGAGAAGCATTGTAAAACCTGCTGGCAGAGTTTTCACTGTAAGGTAGTAGCTTTCTGAAAAACCGAAGATTTAAAATTTATCTCTCTTCTGGTTCTACTTATGATGTATTTGTATACTGGTCCTCAAAGATCTTACTTTACAGGTACCATTATGGAAATGCAAACATAATTAAATGTTAAATCAGTTTTTAATACCACTGAGAAAGAGAGAATGTAACAAAGTTCTGTTGCTCAATCATTATTTTCAAATATTGTGTTTACAGTGTATCCTGATGTCTGCACCATTAGTCTGGTGGCCGTAGGAGATCTGAATAAACATGCAGACAGGTTAGCTTTCTGGGATAACGTATATGGCTTCAGCATGTCCTGCATGAAGACGGCTGTAATTCCTGAAGCTGTTGTAGAAGACTTAGACTCAAGCACACTGATATCTGAAGCTTCTGTCATCAAGGTACTGTAAGAAACAATGTACACTTTTGAAAAAAAGAATATATTCATTCCAGTCATTATTTGTCAAGACAGAAAAAAATCAAGTATTATGTGCATAGTATTTGATGTGTAACAATCGACTTGGACTTTTAGTATTTTGAAATTCGGACATGAACTTAAGGAAATGGTAGTATTTGCATGAAAGCTTGGAAGTTTCTTCTAAAAGTAGTTATGGTTTCATCTCTTAGTTACATTAGTTGGAAGTTGAAAGAGACTACATGGGCCATCAGTGAAACCCCCTGCTATGCAGGAAAAGCACAATCAAAACACCCCCGACAGATGGCCATCCAGCATCTGTTTAAAATCTCCAAAGAAGGAGCTTCCACTACACTCCTAGGCAGTAAGTTCCACTGTTGAACAGATTAAATGGTCAGGAATTTCTTCCTAATGTTCAGGTGGAATCTCTTTTCCTGTAATTTGAATCCATTGCTTCGAGTCCCTAGTCTTCAGGGCAACATAAAACAAACCCACTCCCTCATTCTTTCAAATATTTAAACATGTCTCCTCTCAACCTTCTCTTCTGCAGGCTAAACATACCCAGCACTTTAAGCAGCTCTTTTTAGGGCATGGTTTTCAGGCCTTTGTTCATTTTACTCACCCTCCTTTGGACACACTCAAGCTTGTAAATATCCCTCTTGAATTGTGGTGCCCAGAATTGGACACAGTATATTCCAGGTGAGGCTTTACAAAAGTTGAATAGAGAGGCACCATTACTTCTCTTGATCTAGACACTATACTCCTTTTGATGCAGCGCAAAATCCCATTGGCCTTTTTAGCTGCTGCTTGTTACTCAATAGAAGGATTTGAATGCTTCAAATCTGTGGTATCTTCCTACATCACTTTTTTGTGGTGATGTTGGAAGGTGCCATATATAGTCAGCCCTTTGAATCCCACATCAACAGCTTGAATATACTACACTCATCCAAAAGCAAAAGTAAGACGCCTTGAGTCACCGCTGGGTTTGAGAAAGGCAGTAAAGAAATAGTGTAAATAGCGTAAACCCCCAATTTTGTGATTTTAGATAAGGGACACCATTTTACTATGACATAGCATCCACAAATTTTGGCATCCACAGGGGGTCTTGGAATTAAACCCCAGTGGATGCTGAAGACCCATTATGCTGTATGCAATTTGTATAGCATGCTGTAATGTGCAATTTATTCAGTTCCTTGGTATTGGGTCATGAAATGAAATCGTGTTTTTCTATTGGAATCAAAATAGATTTTATTCTCTCTTAAAATGTAAGATTCTGTTTAATTGTATTTTTAAAGACTTCTCTCCAAATATTGCAAAACCTAAATATTGGTTTCTTGGGGGATGGAGTGGGGTTAAGAATAAATAGCTCAGGCTTTTGGTGTATCTCTTATGGATTACAAAATGGACCAAGTCTGCTTATATATTCTGTACAAAGAAAAGAAAGAGATCCTCGTGTGGTTTGGTAGCTCATTTTCCAAATATACTCTACATTTCAAACAAAACTCTTTTCCTGTACATGAAGTAACATGAACAAATGGACAAAGAGTGTAAGCTACCAAAATAAATGTCTGTTCTGTAAAATTGATGCCTTTAAAATATCTAGAAAATTATTAAAATGTACCTAATTAATCACACAATAACCAAGAATGTGTGTTTGCTTCTGAATCAGGTTTTTAATAAGAGATAGTGACTTTGCCATAGAACTTTCATATTTTATATTAAGCAATCAGTAATCCTAATTTGGACACAACTAAAACTGCATAATAGTGGAATGCCTGGACCAGAAAGAACATTAAAAGACATTAGTCCAAGTACTATATTTCCATCTAAGTACCCAATAATTTTTTTACATTACTTCTCTGGTTGTGGTTTTTATGATAACATTTTTTAAAAAGATTTAGAACCTTAGCAGTTTGCTCCAATTTGGAGCCTTTTCTACACTAAATATTAGAACTATAAATGTTGGCTCTACAGCTGTAACATATCTCCATTGTTTTATGCCTAAGCAATAGGGCAATTTTTTTTTGTTCTGTGTTTTTAAAAATATTATGAACTATAATACATTTTCTTCTTTTTCTTTCCAATCTGTTTTCAAATGGAGATGCTCTTTCCCAGCCATAATACCAAAATGTCAGGGATTCTAGGAGTTGGCCTTCAAATGCCTGGTGCCTGCCTAGTCTAGACCTTAGAGGCTTAATTTCTTCAATAAGATCTTAGAAGATGTTCCTTCTACACCTTTTAAACATCATAGTTCTCCTGCTATGAAACAATGCTGATATTTCTACCTTCAAGTGCCCAAAATGAAACCTATTCCATGTGACATCTCAGAAGCAACCGCATTTTGTATCTTAACAAATACAGCTAATAATTGATGCTGTTGTGTCAGGTTTCATTTCTATACAGTAGGCCTACTTATTATGTGAGGCTATTGAATGCGGTTTGAGTTATAAACGAAGAGCTTTGAATATCATAGAATTGTGCTGGAGCTCCTAGCGATGCCTAGGGAAGTGTTCCTTCTAAGTCTGCAGAACAATTCTGTGGTCATCCTCCACCAGAGCTTCCATCGGACGTTGACCATAGAATCGTGCTGGATGCCTCGAGCACTTCTCAGGCCCACAGCCCAAGGCATCATTCATTTCTGGTAAGAAAAATAGGCTTGCAGTTAATAAAATATTTCTGTATAAGCAGAGGAAACTTCACACTAATTGTATTGTTTTAGTTTTGCATCTTATGTTCTTTTTATGTTTAGTATTATTTGTTTTTAAGTTATTGTATTGCCCACATTTTTGTCCAGAATTATCTAGACAGCTTATTGTTAATGCAAATTACCATAAACCCATCATTTGAGCTCCGTTGATATAGTGGCTCTACTGTAACTGGGACTAGAACTTGGAATTAGGCATTAAAAACTTAATTAAAACATAACATGAAAACAATTAAATTACAGAAAACCTATTTGTGTTTCTCTGTGTTAGATTATCAAGTCACCAAGAGGGTTAGCCCAAGTGGTATCATATAATATTTGTTTTTAGACTTGTTTTAAGTATGTAATACAGAATATGTTAAAGCAGTAATGTGTATCAATATAATTCCACGTAATCATTTTATTCCCAAATTCACATGTGTCTTCTTCTGTTGTTTTCCAGCGGATAGACTGCCATGTTGTATCAGTTTCAGAACTGGGCTTTTCATCAGACTTCACCCTGAGATTCACAAAGACTTCTATGTGCACGGTAATAATTTTTATTGGAACATTTCTAAGGATTAGGGTTTCAACTTGGGATTATTTGGTGTAGGTTAGGAAGTTTCTATTTCCAAATGAAGGTCACTGACCAGCCTGGAGGATTACATTTTGGGACACACACAGACACTGTCCTGACTTTCAGAAATATTTCCAGTCTCTTTCGTCAATATATAATATTTCTGATAAAAACTGTAATTTCACATGTTTATCTTTTTTTCTCTTTGGTTTGTTTATTTATTTATTTATTTCACTTACTTATACCCCGCCCTTCTCACCCCGGGGGGGACTCAGGGCGGCTTACAGAGGAGGCACAATTAGATGCCCAAATCCATTGACAAGCAGTACAAAATACAAAGCAATTCAACAGTTAAATTAAAACATCAATACATCATACAATAATAAAACAATCTCATGCTCAGGGTTCAGAGTCCATATATCCATTCCATTCCATTTGCCCTTGTCTATCGTCAGATCCTTAAATTAGTTGTCAGAATGACCAAAGGCTTGGTCCCACACCCAGGTCTTCAGTTTTTTCCTAAACGCCAGAAGGGAAGTCGCCGATCTAATCTCCCCGGGGAGTGAGTTCCACAGGTGGGGGGCCACCACTGAGAAGGCCCTGCTCCTCGTCCCCGCCAGCCTCACTTGTGACAGTGGCGGGGTCGAGAGCAGGGCCTCCCCAGAAGATCTTAAACTTCGAGGTGGGATGTAGAGGGAGATCCGTTCGGACAAATACACTGGGCCGGAACCGAGAGCAGGGCCTCCCCAGAAGATCTTAAACTTCGAGGTGGGATGTAGAGGGAGATCCGTTCGGACAAATAACAGTCTTTGAACAGTGTTTACAGTAATTATGAAATGTTTATTTTATTTGACAATAATTTTGATTTGTTCACCTATGATTTTAACAAAACAAGTTTGTATTTGTTGAGTGTTTTCATAAACTCCTACTTATATGATTATGTTTATATGAGGTTTAAGGTGTGGATTGCATCTTCATTTTAAGACTGATAGGTGTATTTATCTCTCTTGTTTTCTCTATAATCTCATAAATGTAGTGGTACAGGTGAACTGTTTGGTTGGAATGTTATTAATTTTTAGTCAGAGATTTGTAGTGTTTTGCAAAAACAAAGACACTTTGTCAAGTATTCCACAGTTCATCATGTAAGATTATTGACATCCTGTGACCAGAATTTCAACTCTTTTTATGATGGAGTATGGCAGCTTAGTTCCAGGCTGACAGCCCATCTATCACATCAGACTGCCTAACCTTGCAATAAATGAAAAATAAAGTCCATTATTTGTATTGGGGATTTTGATGATGGTTTATAGGTGTAATCCTTTATTGACCAGGTTTTTTCTTGATTTTTTATCAGTATTTTTACTTGGTTGAAGATAGAAGGCCAAATGTTTGCTTACTGCCTTATATTGATCTTCTCATATTTTCTTCCTGAACAACAAAAAGCTAATTAAAGTTATTTGTGAGTAAGAAGGGCTGTTGGGATGAGCAAATAAATTTAAACTTGTGAAGACAGCTGAAGTGTATAAATATCAATTAATAAACCCCCATATGTCAGGGGTGTTTTGAGTGCATGGCAGGGAGATGGACTAAATGGCCTATATGGTCTCTTCCAACTCTATGATTCTATAATATTCTATAATATTAAGAAATAAGTCTAATTTTAAGAGATAAGTCTAGTTTTTTTTCAAAGGAAATTACCTCTTAGCAAGAGTGTTTAGGATGAGCATTTAAAAGTTTCCTTTCCTTTTATTTTAATGTAATAGTTATCTCAATCATACACTATCAGATGAAGGATTTTACCAACCTATATAGTACACTGTACGAGATGAATGACAATAGAGTATTGACTCAACACTGAAGTATTTTGGACACCATCTTGTGCTAAATCAGGAATGGGAATTGTATCATCCTCAAGCTTTCAATATCCTTCATCATTTATTATGGCAAAATATGTAATTTAAAAATCTAACAGCCGCAGCAAAACATTGTACACATGGATATCTCACATCTAATGGCCTTAACAATCATGTTACATTTTTGAAGTGCATTTCATTTTGTTATAATTCGCAGACAAATACTAAATTGATATTTCAGGTAAGAATAGTAGTAAAGTATCTGAATAGAAAACAAGAAGAGTAGCAAAATAAACAGAGAAGATAAGCATTTTAAAAAAGATCAAAGAACATAAAACCATAATGACTGGGACATACTTCATGTAACACTGAAAATCCACTTCTTGGTAATCGCCATCAGCTATGAAATAATTCAACATCTTGGTACATGTGTATTGCTTTTCTGTTCATTTAAGTGGGGAAATGCTGAGCTCTGGGGGGGGGGAGTTAAATTCATATCGCGCTACATTTTATTGTATTATTTCAACTGAAAAGATAAATTAAATTGCTTATGAAAAGTTTGACAAATAATTCCTAAACAGAAGCACAGGTGAAAAGGTTATTTATTCATTTGACTCCTGGGAGTGGCTATATATAGCACTAAGCAGACAAAACTAAAATTAGTAATATGTTTTTAGTAGCATTAGTCAAAAAGGTTAGCAAAAAGCACTGATTAGTTACTTTTTATTTTTGAGGTTAGCTGTGAACTTCTGTGTGTCATATTTAACTGAGTGGAAGACACTTTTAAGGCCATTCAAAGCTAATCAAGGTGGCCAATTGCAACATTCACATGTGCCTCAAAGAGACAAGGGTTCTTTCTCTCACCCAGAACATTCCACAGATATATAAACCCCACTTAATATTCTGGGTTATATGGCTATGCGGAAGGGCTCAAAATTACTCCATCATCTTTTTCTCCACTGTAATTTTATTATTGTTGTTGTGATAATGCCCCAAAAACCTATACTTTCCCCTTTTAATTAAAAAATAAATGACTTAATTTGTTTCATATCTCAGTATTTGTGAAACAGATAGGATATGCCTATTTTTCCCCCAAGAAAATAGATTTCTAGATTTCATACAAAAGACATTAGACTACATTTTTTCATGAAATTTCCACTCCCCAACTAGTGATGCTCTACCTCACAAAATTAATCATAGAAATTGATTGCTTGTCTCTTGTAATTGGCTTCTTGCATCTAATAAGATTAGGGGCCTAAAATACCCCAAAGGCACCAGATCCTGCCTGATCTTGGATGTTAAGCAGTGACAGCCCTGGCTAGGACTTGGATGGGAAACCGTCAATCAATACCAGGACTGTGTTGTCGAAGGCTTTCATGGCCCAGAATCACTGGGTTGCTGTGAGTTTTCCCAGGCTGTATAACTATGTTCCAGAAGCATTATCTCCTGACATTTCGCCCACATTTATGGCAGGCATCCTCAGAGGTTGTGAGGTCTGTTGGAAACTAGGCAGTGAGGTTTATATCTGTGGAATGTCCAGGGTAGGAGAAATAACCTGGAGACAACATATTATTTGAGAACACAGAAACCATCATGTCAGACTACACAGAGAAGCCATTGAAATCCATAAGCATGTGGACAATTTCAACAGAAAGGAGGAAACCGTGTAAATGAACAAAATCTGGCTATCAGTATTTAAAAACTCTAAAATCAAGGCATTAAATAAAGAGTAACACTGAAAAACAGGGGCTTCTAGACAAGAAACAATCAGGGCCAGCTAATGCTCCCAGCAAAGGATTCCCTGAGGCAGGAAGTAGCCAGGCTTTGAAACTTCAAGGATATTCAATGCTAATGAATTTGGCCAATTGCAACATTCACATCTGCCTCAAAAAGACAAGAGTTCTTTCTCCCAACCTCGACATTCCACAGATATATAAACCTCACTGCCTAGTTTCCAACAGATTTCACAACCTCTGTGGATGCCTGCCATAGATATGAGAAAAACGTCAGAAGAGATTGCTTCTGGAACATGGTCATACAGCCCAAAAAACTCACAGCAACCCAGCCTGCTTTATCTTCAGAGCTCAGCTCATGCACATTTGGTATTTCAGTGAATAGAATTTCCCAGTTATTGCATCTCCACAATTCTTTGCAAACCCTTGTATGGATAAATAATAATAATAATCAGCATTGTCATCATCTTTATTTATATCCCGTCACCATCTCCTGAAAGGGACTCGAGGCGGCTTACAAGGCACTCCAAGATGCAGCATAACATAAATGATACATGAGTATAAAACAATATCACATAAAAATTATAAAAATGACTATCAACACATATAAAAATAAGATAAAACAATTTTAAAAATGCAGAAAATAGAAATGCACACAGTGTTGGCTTCCAGGAATTCAAAGCATATGCATTTTGGCTGATAAGAGTTTGTCATAGAGAATTGCATTTGGATAGACTGAAAATACGCAATTCCTTTTTTCGTCAGAAGTCACACTTCAAATAATGTGATCCACATTGTGCTACAAGCAAAGTAAATTTTCTTTGGATCCCCTGTGAGAAGAAAGGCTTTGCCAAATTATTTTAATTTAAGAAATACCATTTTAAAAATTGAAATGGTATTTGTGCTGTAGGAACATAGCGATCATCTGCCTCTCCCTCCTTCTCTGCCGCGTGGCTTACAAGCATTTCCTCTCCATGGTTGGATAAACTCCATCAAAAGCACATTATCCTCCTACTTCTGTGGCCAGCTGCCTAATTGTATCTACTCTAGCTGCATGCTGTTGGAACATGATACTGACGAGAAACAAAAATGATAAATTGCTCCCTGCAGCTGATAGCAATGATGGTAAATTTTAATTTCCTTTTTTTTCCTTAAGTGAATTGGTCAGATTGCTTTTAACCGTTTTCATGGGTTTGTATAAATCACTTGGGGATTTACAACAATAGACGGAAGTCTTTTCTTAAAGAGAAGGCTGGGGTAAATGACTTGCACCTCAGTCTGTTATTAAAAAAATAACCTTGCAGTACAGAAGAAATGATTGAGTGAACAGCATGGCTTTGCAGTGAAATGTTCAAAGAGCTTACTTTTGCTATGTTTTTTTTATCAC